AATAGCACTGCATTAAAATTACCACTAACTCGCATCAAAATCAAGTGAACGCAATAAAGCATATATTTGCAATCTTAATGACGCATATCCTTCATCAGAATCAAAAAATATACAGGATCCATCTACAAAAATGTTTACAATTTTTATTAAGCAAAAATTGTTTTATAAGGGTTATTATACTACTAAAGAGTACAGGATTGATTGGACCTTTGGGAATGATGTAATCGCTACCATGCTGTTCCTAAATGGTTTTTGTACTTAATTGTAAAATATATTATATTTTAAATTAATGTTTAAAAAAAGTCCCGCCGGATTTTTTTCTGGTTCTTCCAATTGAATTTTTGAATTTGAATAAAAATTATTCTATTCTATTCTATGCATCATCATTACGGACTAAACATAGGCCTCCCCATAGATTGCCTCACATATTCCCCATATTTGCATTGTTGCCACACTTGGCAGGCGAGTTGCAAATCGCAGTTTTTATTATAATAGAGCTGTTATCAGAAAGATGCTACCCATCTTCTGTTTCAATTTTCCTATATCATCTCATTACGATTTAAGTTTATAAATAAACATGACACTGCATTTTAATTAAAAAAAAATATTTAATCCGTTAATGGAATTGTTACTAATATAATCCGTTACATCCGCAACTCAATACCCTCTATACAAAATTAGCAACGCAGGAACATAACAGGATGTGATAGATCACAGAACCCAACAAAAATGAGCGCCTTAAAGATCGAAATGGATACAATTCTCACAGAATTATTAATCCCCTTAAGAATGCCGACTGTAGTTGAATCATTATCTTTGTTTTGTCTACCAATTTTTTGTTTATTGTTTTAATGGAAATGTTGATATAATTTACGACTTCAACAAAAGTTTCAGTTATGCTTACATAAATAGTCTTCAATTTTATGATGTTTTTCCTTAACTATAACCTATTTTTATAAACATTGCCTAAATAAAGTGATGTCGAATTTTTGAAATATATTATATAATATATTTTAAAAATAGTTATTGTAAATTAAATTTATCTTACAGAAAAAGAATCAAATCCATAACACAATTAAATTTTTTATGCACACAATCAAACTGATGTTAAGTGGATGCTATGGCCCGTTATTGCCACCTTCTACACGTGATAGAGCCATGCTGCAGCTATATTAGTAGTATAGTTGTAGCACGAATGGGTCGGCTCGACCAGGGAAGGACCACGCTCTCACAGAATACCAACGTAAAATAGCAGCTTAACACTGCTGTGTTTCGTAAGGTGAGTGTAGAGAACCGGAGACCCTTTTTTTTACTGGAAAAGAGGCATTCCATCTGAGTCCTCACGGTTGACAACGCATCTGCATTTTGATTCGCAAACGAGGATAAATGTAGATGTCTATGGGCCACAGCAACCACTTACCATCGCGGACTGTGTGCTCGTTTGTCACCCTATCCTATAAAAATACCTACATATATCCTCGAATAAGAATCAAAATGCAGATGCGTTGTCATCCCTGAAAACTAACAAGGAATCCCTCGTAATTAGTAAAAAAAAGGATCCGGTTCTCTTCACTCGGCAGTATAATACTGCTATTTCACCCTGTCCTACAATGGTCATGCAGACTATTCCAGCTACCTGGCCCTTCCACGTGACAGTACTCTTCCACGTAAATACATAATATTTACTATATAATATTATAATCGAAAGTGTTTCACATTCACACAATATATTATTTGTTTTGTTGAGAGTTGAGACGATGGCTCATATCATTCAGAGCAATCAATCAGCGCGAACAAAGCCGCGGAAAAAGCTGGTAATATGTACACAATACTATTATATACACTGTAATTATTATTATACTAGGTTGTACAATAATAAATTCTGCCTCATATCTATTTTAACATCATCAGTAGCGTTTCGGTTTGAAGTGTAAGAGAGCCAGAACAATTACCGACTGTTATGTATTTCATGTGTAGATCGACTGCAGTAACCAGTTTTCATCAGGTAGACTGTTAAATTGTTTCTTCTCACCCTAGTAAAATACAAAGATACTGAGCAATGTCAATTCGGTATCATTACGGGCTACATTTCCGGTGATAATAATTGGAACACAAAAATTCTGCATTGACAAAAAATGTATCTAACGGCATTTTTTGCTTCAAAATCGAATAAAGGGAATGCCACGCATTGGTCACGTAGAGATGACAAATGATCGTGACACTGTTAAAATTTATTCGGGTAGATTCGTGTGCACCGTGCATGTCTTGTTAATAGCATCTATTTGATTGTTATTTGATGTCAATGATAATAATTCAAAAAGCATATTTTTTTTTAATCTTTACTCATTTTAAAGTTTGTAAATCTCGTTTCTCATATTGCTAATTATTTCGAAAACTAAGAACAAAATAAGACATTGGCATATGTGATCTATATTTTAAAAGTAAAATTGTTACAATTAAGGTCACCGCTGCTACTAAGTTCCTAGTTGCTTTCATAAGATTGTTTTTACTATAAGCGCCTACAAAAGACGGATTCCTTAAGTTGTCCAATCGAACAGGTTTCGACGCGTCGCCCGAAAACCGGTAAAAATAATCTCAAGTAATTATTTGAGCTTATAGCAAGTTAATAGATTTTTCATTTGATGAATTTGATTTTTACATGAAATTAATACTGTTAAATACAATGTTTAACTATGTATTATATTCAACTTTAATGTGAGCTTGAGCTGTGCTGAGGTGTGAGCTTTATTTATTAATAATTAATTCTGTATTTAATAAGGTTTCTGATGTCAGGATTTTATAGCACAACATATATTAGACAGCCTAGCGTCTAAAGCTTGTAAAAATAGCTTTTAAATATTTAAAACTTCTTTAATACCTTTACAGCTCTAACAATGCATAAATTTGTGTTTTATTTGCTTTCTAAAACATTAGAAGTATAGGTTACAATGTAAATGTCCATTGTGGCCTGCTATTTTCCCGACCTCTTGTTAGGAAAATTATTAGGAACAGTGTATTGTTCGACGTTGGAAACAAAGAAATTCTGGAAGCAGTTAAGTAGTAAAAAGTAAGAAATACGCGGAAGGCTGGTTGTGTACATTGTTAGTTCCAACGTGGAAGCAATTGTAGAAATTAACTTCTATTTTATTATTACAATTTTTTTTTAGTATTACATTAAATTTTAAAACGCTGTTTTCACAATATATTAGTGAAAAGTATATGTTTTAAATATGAACTAGTTTCCATTTAAACATTTATCGACAAAAGATATTTTAAAGAAAACATAAAATTTCAATATATTTATATCGACATCTAATCTCTATATTTTTGTAATGAGTATTCGTAATTTTGCTTTTTGCGAAGTAGTTTGATTAGCACAAGGCAAGTACCTAGTATAGCACGATAAGAATATGCTATGAGATCATTACATACTGGAAGAACTGACAAATGTTGGCTGCCATTTACACGAAGCATGAGGGCGTGCCGTCAGTGTAATATTCCGCCCTCTTAATCACTACCCAGCCGAATAATTAATAACAACTCAATTAAAATATCAAGTAAGTGCTTCCGCCCTTCTGATAGAGATACCGCAAATAAAAACTATATATTTTTTAGTTTATTCCCTTAAGCCTTTATCTGTCTGTGTATTATAAGAAATGGATTATAAAATTTATATTACTATACTCTTTTTTTTTCTTGGTTTAAGTAGGTCCGGTACAATTTCTGAATTTTTTTTTATAGGATAAGGGTGACAAACGAGCACACAGTCCACCTGATGGTAAGTGGTCGCTGTGGACCATAGACATCTACATCTATCTTCGATTAAGAGTCAAAATGCAGATGCGTTGTCACCCGTGAGGACTAAGATGGAATGCCTCGTTTCCAGTAAAAAGGGTCTCCGGTTCTCTACACTCACCATACGAAACACAGCAGCGTTAAGCTGCTATTTTACGCTGGTATTCTGTGAGAGCGTGGTCCTTCCCAGTCGAGCCGACCCATTCGTGCTACAACCATAATATAGATGCAGCATGGCTCTACCACGTATGAAATGAATGCGTTTCTTCGCAATTTAATACGCAATTCAGGCATACTATAAAAAAGAATACCAAGTAGATGTTCTATTGTCATTTAAATCAATGTCGTGCAATCAACATGTTTACGTTTTGTCGATGTTCATGTTTATAAGTCTTACAAAGGCTTATTTTGCTGAGCTTACATGACAACATAGGAAACATTTATTTTACTAAAAAGATAGAGAGAGAGAGTCTGAGAGATGACTACATATTTGTGCTATTTGCTGTAGTGACTATCGGTCCTTGGGGTCCACGTGCGGGGAAGTTCCTAAAGAAACTGTATTCAGGACTGCTCGTCGCTGCTGGTGATAAGAGGGTTGGTATAATCATTCTGTGAGGAAACGCAGCCAGCGTTCTTGGTACGATACCACGGCGAGTAGGACTATATGATAATTTAATTATTTGGTTTTTATTTTTATTATAGTTTTTAATATTGTATGTATATATTTCAATATTTTATTACAGTAAATATGAGTAACTTAATCACAAATCTGCGTGAGTATTTCACAGATTGAGATAGGTATTTGTTTCGTGTCCGAACAAGTCGTACTACTAATTAACGCCTCCGAGAGCTTAAACAGGCAATACAATTTATCGTTAAACCCAATTTAGAGCCGAGAGGCACGCGATTACAATCTTCTCACGACAGGAAGGCGCGCAAACTCCTCATCTCGAGGGAAATCACGCACGCAACAAACTTTATTGCAACACGTCCCGAGAAACGATCCGCCCGGAGCACCCGAAGACCTTACCACACACAGACTCGTTCAAAAGAAATAACAAGGCGCGGGCAGTGCCTCTACGTGGTATGTCGAATGCAAATTTGGAATTAAAATTTTGACGCACCACACCAATAATTCTACTTTTCCACACGCACAACAACGCGTGAAGCACTACCCGCGAAATCGGGCTGTTGAAAACACTGACCGTTGTTGAGTATGGCTGCAAACTCAGGCGGATTCCATCTTGAGCGAGACGTTCACGAAGTAGCCGTTTCAGCTGTATACGCGGTATCTTCACCAACTCAGCTTTTCCCTCCTCGTACTCGTCAACATATTTAGCCGGTTCCACAGTTGCAACAGCTTGTTCTTTCCGAACCTCTTCCTCACAACGGCAAGGATCCCGAGCAGCAGCCGCTTCCTCTAAAGTGAAGTAAACGGCTGCTGCTCCTTCCTCTCTCAAACTCCGCACAGAATGCAGCAATCTTTGCCGATGAGCGGGATTGAGCACCCCGATAGCATCCAGGTCAGGTTCCCCGACCTGCTTACATATTTCCAAGTCATCGTAACCATTGTCTATAAAACTTTCCGCGTACTGGCCCAAATGGAGCGATCGCAACCACTCGACGACGATGTTGCCGGTCGTGGACGAGGCCATGTCGCGTCAAAACGCGTGGCACATCACAAGGCGTGCTCGCAACGCGACGGTTGGCGAGATACTGGCGAGCCACGCTTCCCTTCTCCCCTCTCACCCTTGCAAGCCGCGGTCGCCGCCCCTAGACCTACGTGCTTTTGCTTTTTGACATTTTGTAGCATAATCGTTCCGTTTCATAGAGATGCGCGTCGATCCACGTGATTGATACACTTAATTTATACACACTTTTCTCGTACATAAAATATCTACTTCAACAACTTACAATTAATTTATCCAATAGTAACTCGCAATTTGTCTTACTTTTTATCTTTTATTTGTTGGCCGACATGACATCAGGTAGCCATAAAGATCCTACAAGTGAAACAGTGGGTGGTACCACACCGTGCATGATTTATACATTGTATCGTTTAAAAATTGAATCCAAAGAGGTTCGTGTTTACAAATCGATATGCTTTTACTGTGGCAGTATAACTTACAACGCAGTATTAATAAGTTTATTATAGTAATTTACGAATAAATTGTTATTTTAAAAATACTTTTTCGCATTTTTCTAATGATAAAACATTGAATAAAATGTTTTGCTTTTAAAATAATTATTTATAACTAATACATAAGCTGCAATTTCAAGATAAGCTTGAGCATCTATAAATTTATTCTCTCTCTTAATTCTCTACTCATACAGGGAATGTTCATTTGATACCGGAGTTAATTACCCACAAAATGAGAAGCGGGGCAAAGTTTGCTTTCGCTAAAGCTGTTATTCATTAAACTTCTTGAACCTGTTTTATCTTATTTAGGAAGCTGAAACTAGAGTAGAGCAACACCAGGGTTTATTTAAGGAACTATTTAAACTGTCGCGACTACGGATCTCAGGCGGAAGTGAATTCGTCCGCTTGACGATTGCAAAATCCAATAACAAACTTATTCATAACAAGCTTTTAGGTGTATTTCGTGCTTACATTAATCATTAGCATTAATTAAATTTTATTGTTTTTGGATTTTTGTTTTGAGTTTCTCTGAGTCACACGCAAATGCTGGCACACGGTAAGTCTAAAGGCGGCTCTTCACGTTGGTCAACATAGTGGCAAATGTGTTGGCGAAGATATTAGCCAAGAATTTGTGATCGCGTCCACACATTGGAACGTCGTTCAGTTTGCTTCGGTTCAGGCCAATGTGCAGACGAATTTATTAAAATGGATTTGGAGGCGCTAACGGCTGCTGCGGTTTATTTATTCACAGCATAGCGCTACTACGTGAATGTATAGAAAAAAAAGGTGATCAAAAACAAATGGAAAAAAGAAATTTTATTTCTTGTGTTCCACAAATAATTTTCGGCTTTATAGAGTTCTGTAAAGCGAAAAGTTTCTTCATTAGTTATTGTTACTGCCATTTTGTAGACACTAGTTACGATGCGTAAATATAAAATTTAAATCAGGTGCGTGCGATCACTCTGGGAGCTCGTAGCAAACTGAACGTGAGCCCAACGTTACAACGTTTGGACGCGGCGACCAATACTCTGCCACAAGCCTTTGATCTTTTGTAAAAAACCGATCCCACACGAATCTCCCGCCAACTTGTGGGCCATCATTCCAATACATACCACTCTACACGATGACCATCGTTATTGGTCAACATATTGGCGAATGAGTTGGCAAAGATATTAGCTAAGAGTTTGTGATGGTGTCTACAAGTTGGAAGTTCGTTCAGTTTGCTTCGATTCAGGCCAATATGCTGACGAATTTATTAAAATGGATATTGAGGCGCTAACGGCTGCTGCGGTTTATTTATTCACAGCTACTACGAAGAAAAGGGTGATCAAAAAGAAATGGCATAAAAGAAATTTTATTTCTTCTGTTCCACAAACAATTTTCGGCGTGGTGGAGCTCTATAAAGCAAAAGGTTTCTTCATTGGTAATTGTTACAATTTTTGTAGTTTTGTAGACAATAGTTACGATGCGTAAATATAAAATTTAAATCGGGTGCGTGCGATCGCTCTGAAAGCTCGTATAAAACTAAACGCGAGCGCCCAACGTGTGGACGCGGCGAGAGTCATGCTTCAGTAATATTATGGTTGTAGCAAAATGGGTTTGCTCAACCGGGGTAGGAGTTGCTTCTGTATTTCGTATGGTGTGTGTTGAGAGCCAGAGACTCTACATTGAACGAGGCATTCCATCTTAGTTATCAAGCATCAACGCATCTGCATTTTGATTTCTAATCGAAGATAGATGTAGATGTCCATGGACCATCCACTTACCATCAGGCGTTATGTGTGCTCGTATGTTACCCTTAATCTATAAAAGTAATATATATATATATATATATATATAAGTTTAAAATCTTAAAACACATTGAGCTGTGATGATCCTGATAATTATAATATTTTATCCTGGTGATCCTGATCAAAATACTAGTACTATTGTATTGTCATCGCTTTTTAATACTAGTGCAAATTTCCAAGTCAATCCGACGTCCACTAGTTGGTGAAAATTTAATTAAAATATTAGGTTATATATATACTTAGTCAGTTATGTCAAAAACTTTTTATAACATTAATGATACACTTTTTTAATAATTATATAGAATTTATATATGAAATGAAAGGTAATTTAATTTAGAATACAATTTTATTTAAATTATTCAAAATGCTCTCCCCTATCTCTTTTGGCGCGTAACTACAGCGGTGCAACGCGATAACCGCTACTCTATCTTCTTTCTTCGACCACTCTATATTTGAATTGATGTCTTTTTTATTTTCGGCAAGCGCAAACATTTTAAATAATAAGGTTTTGACAGAACTTATGACCCGACTAAGTATATATATTAGCCACGCGAAACTAATAAAAGCGCGTAAAAAGGTTTGCTTCGACGTAGAAAGAGATAGGTAGAGCTGCCAATACCATTCTACTGTCAGGCAAAGTATTTTGTGGTTTTATTTTTCATAGAAGCAAAAGTGACACACGAGCACACAGTTCACAAAATGTTAAGTGGACGCTGTCTTCTTAAGTCACCGACATCTCTTAATATTTTATTTTTTCAAAAAATGTTATTGTCAAAAATTGTCACCGCTTTTAGTTATTAATCGTAAACAACTTAACACCATTATGCTATTTAATGTTGATATTCTGTGCGAGCGTAGTTCTTCCCCGGTCGAGACGACCTATTTGTGCTGCAACCATAATACACTAAAACGTGGTTCTACCACAACCAAAACGCGTTTTATTGTTTCTCTTACCGTTATAGCTTTTAAAATATCCACTGCTGAACATAGGTCTCCATATAATATAAATTGCCTTACAGAGGAGATATATTCCATAGTTGCTATACTTGGCAGGCAGATTGGCTACCGCATTTTTTTTCTTATAGAATATAATAAATAAACGCTGCTGACCATCTCCTGGTTTGTTGCCCTCTGACGCCTCTAACGACAACCACATGACGATATATGTTAGTGGATATTCCTACACTGCCACTACGCGATCAAAATCGTTTGTAGTAATATTATAATTATTGTCCAACTTATAGCTATACCTCAATTTATAATATTGACTACATATGCCTATTTCCCGGTGAATTTGTACGTGATCATTCATTTTTACTGCCCGCAACAAATATAAATTACATGTCCCATATAACTTAATCACGCAATGAAATGTGCATATCATATTACCTACTTCTTTATCTGTAAACGAATGGTTGTTTATGAACTACAAATATTTATCAAATGACTTCTAAGAAGAACATAAGCTGTGGATTCCATCTCTATCATTACAGCTTAGTGGTATAGTTGTAGCACGAATGGGTCTGCTCGACCGGGGAAGAACCGCGCTCTAACAGAATACCAGCGTAAAATAGCAGCTTAACGCTGCTGTGTTTCTTATGATGAGTGTAGAGAACTGGAGACTCTTTTTACTGGATATGAGGCATTCCATCTTAGTCCTCACTGATGACATCTGCATTTTGATTTGTAATAGACGATAGATGTAGATGTCTATGGGCCGCAGCAATCACTTACCATCAGGTGGACTGTGTGCTCGTTTGTCACCCTTATCCTATAAAAATGCTTATGAAAATCCATCAAGTTCTATTGTGGAGTTATTCTGATACGTACTTAATATCTAAATGTGACTTGTTGGACGTTTTCACTGTTTTAAATCAAACAAATTGGAATAAAAGTGTAGTAATTTGTTTTACATTACATTGTATGGATCTTATTTGCACTTAGTTTTTTTGCAATTAAGCACGTTCTCTGTTTTCAAACTTTAAAAGGCGAAAGTTAGTTACTTATTAATATGACATTTTCGGCCCCGTGGACATAGTACCTGACCACTCTTCGCGAGTCCCGACTCCAATTTTCATTCCAAGTCTACATTTACGCAAACACAAATTGTCGGTTTTCACGCCTCGCTGCAATTTGATTGTTCCCATGACCCTTTCTGCATCCTAGTTTACCTTTGATCATTAACGTAACAAGTTGCTAATGTTCCTTGCTCTGAATTATCGTATAGATATTTGTTAATGGCCGTTGTAGTAATGAAAATTCCTTAAAAACAAAACTCTTGATTAGTCTAATCTAGTTTCTGTGATGTTAATGCTGTTAGCCTGTATGGCTGTTACAGCTTCACAGGCCGCGAGCTATAAAAAAGGGTGGGGGGAGATTATTTAAAATCCATAAACTCGAGGGAGTGGGATAATATTGTGTTCAGTGATCACATCATCATCACATCAACATTAAATACACCTTGATGTCGCCGAAAACCGCAATATGACATGGGTGAGTGACACGGACTCTGACGGCTAACTCGTATCGTTCGATGTTCTGGGCTGTGAGAACCGCCCAGGGATGCGAGTGTACGGTGTATACGCGGTGTGGAGGGGTATGCGGCGCGCCCGTCTGCGGACTCACTGCGCCCCATCCGTTGTTGTTCTAACTGTGTTTGTGGGCCTGTGTGAGTGTGTAGTGTTTATACATGACTAGCCGGTTACATTTCGGTTGTCGACATCTA